CCCAAAGAATGTGATATGACAAAAGACCCGTCACGGTTCGACTCCCGCTGGGATTGTTGATAAGACCATTTGATGCTAGGTCGAATCTGCAGTCACCTTCAATCGGGATGAGAACGTCTTTTGGGAAAGCAAGGCTATGTGAACTTGATTGTAAGCGCCAGTTCTATTCACATCTTGTGGGATAATTTGACTAAGAGTGCTTCATCACCGTAAACGAAAAAGGGTGAATGCATCTCGTCTAAAGAACATTATTGTTGAGCTTACTTCCATTTCGAGTGGAAGTGTTAGGTGAAGAGATTCGAAGGTCGGCTTCACAAAAAGACGACAGCGGATTCCTCTTGACCAGCTGTCGATTGGCTTTACTGGAAGATTCATGCTGACGATGTTTTCGAGGAAATCTCCTTTGATTCCGGTGAAAACGTGCTGAGCTTTCGTCCGTCGTTTGACGAACATCATTAGAGCAAGTTATCATCGTCACAACAAAATTCAAGCTAACGAGTCAAGAAAACTCACCGACAAATCCCTCAAAACTGATATCCATATTCTACATCTGGCCTATTTGATAAAATTGACATATACTTTATACTTTATCAAAGAGGCCAGATGTGAAGTGTATATACCACTTTTCAGGGATTTGCGGGTGAGTTTTCTTGACTCGTTAGCTTCAATTTTGTTGTGACGATATTACCTCGCTCTAATGATGTTCGTCAAATGACAGACGAAAGCTTAGCACCTTTTCAACGAATTCGAAGAAGATTGCCTCGAAAAAACATCAGCATGAATCTTCCGGAAAAGCCAATCGACAGCTGGTCAAGAGGAATCAACCGTCGTCTTCTGGTGGAACCGACCTTCGAATCTCTTCACCTAACACTTCCCTTTGAAATGGAAGTAAGCAAAATAATTATGAAATAAGAGATTCCTCGAAACCCAACTTTTCTTCGTATAAAGAACGTTACTCTCAACTTATGTGTAGATAAGCTAATGTGTATTTTCAACTAAACTCAAGATGCTACTCACATCTTGTTAGTAATTAAGTGGTTTCGATTACAAAGAACTTGGTATCTGAAGGTGTATCACATTCTAAGGATCATTATCTCTCTCTATGATGACACGAGAAATGAGAATATAAACGACATTCATGCTTTTTCGATATAAGTCGTTTCCGTGACGATCAGCATTTCCTACCGAGTTAATGTGGTTCAATGACGGATGGTTCAGTTGTTCCACACAACAAGATGAGTATGCCTCACGAGTCACGGGTCAGATTCACCATCCAAGACGACACATGCCTATCTAAATTCGCCCTTTGTGGTGGGAGTTTCGAGTAGGCAAATCTGTAATTGCCATTTTGCTCAACAGCACTACTTATTTTCGATATAAGTAGCTTGTGCAGCAGTCAGTAATCCTTGAATAAGAACAGAGTTGCCTCAATTTTATCACAGCGCTTCTGAGCTGCGTCAGCTGAACAGATCCGGTTCACGTACTTTTTACTCGACCTACTTGCTTCTTTGTTGTCCTGTCAACCAGAACCCTCGGTTATCACGTCGGCCACGCTGGTTTATTCGGCCAGCAACTTCGCCTACTTCACATGGCTGCCGCCAGCGGTCACCAACGGAGTGTTTGATGGGTATGTCGTCAGCTTGATGAGTCATCATGCAGATCCGATCCAATTCCATTTTCCGGCCAGCAAGTTGGAGTACACCTTCCGGAATCTGTTGCCAGCCACGCGCTACATTTTCGGAATCGCGGGTAGAACCCTTGCGGACGAGAACAACGCAGGCGGCGGTGTGGGGGAGGAGTTCCAAATCCAATTCACCACAATCCCAGTAGGTAAGTGGTACCATTTCACGGCCTCCTTACTGATCCGGTTTGGGACATCCACCAAGCAATCCCACAAATAGGCAATAAAAAAGGAAAAATCCGATCAGGAAATGGATCTCTTTGATGCAAGAGACAAAGCTGGTTTGACCGCGTTCTTGCAACTTGGTCGGAGTGACTTGGAGACCTTGTGCAACGTACTTCATGCTGTGTCCTCTGGCAACGTAGTCGTGATCATTTCGAGCATCGGATCGTCGATTTGGCACTTTGCCAGACCTTTTGCAGGCATCGAACTCGGCCTCGACCGATTTCTATTCATCCCTTGTGGCATCACTGCTCGTCCCTACTTTTGTTCCGGCTTCTGGTACGTCTGAGAATGTACCAAGTCCACGGCCAGATGCTGGAAATCGTCATGACTACTCGCAAGCAAAGGACGCTTTACACGGTCTCGCTGTTGCCCCTACCGAGTTGCGGAACGAGGTCAAACCAACATTCTGCTGCTAAAGGAGACTGCGACCAAACAAAATATCACATCGTCTTGGTATGCAAACCTCCTTCTTGTCGTCTATTCACCTGTTCACAGCTTTATGTGTTCTCGACTTTTCCAAGCTAGCCTCAAAGTGTGTGGTTTCAAGTGGATTTGATGAATTGTAACCACCTTGACCGCAGGTTTAAGATGCCGTTTGCTGAGATTCCGATTTTCATTTAGCCCACCTTGGCCACACTTGCCAGTTGTCCCTGACACACTCGAAATCTGGTT